CTTTGTCCATCCTCTTTTATTCAAAAAAGTAGTTTTCTTTTTTTTTTTTTTTGCCCTAGGGCATGTGCACTTGCTGGAGAGACAGAGAGGGACAATGAGAGGAAAAGTGAGAAATCGCCCCCCAGGAGAGATGGCCACGCCACAATCCCTTCTCTTCCATTCTCTTCCTGGGATTTTGGGCATGCATGAACACTTGCCCGATGTGATTTTCTTTTTCTTTTCTTTTTTTTTTTTTTATAGATTTTCACTATAGGGTGTGTGCGCTCGCCAGACAAACAGAGAGAGACATAGAGACAGAAAGCGAGAAATCAACCCCCAGGGGGGATGGTCACGCCGCATTCCCTTCTCCTCCATTCTCCTCTTGGGATCTTGGGCACACACACACGCGCCCGGCGTGAATTCTAAGCCACCGGGTCCGGGACGCGAACCGCAGTTGACTACGTGGGAGTCCAGCGACATAGCCATTACGCTAACTGCTGGTTCCCAACCCGATGTGATTTTCAAGCCACCAGGTCCAGGACTAGAACCATGGACGGCCATGTGGGAGTCCAGTGCCTTAACCACCCCACCACCTGCTGGCCTCCACCCTCCCTTTTCATGATAAAAAGAACACTGATCTGCTTATGGGACCAGCGAAAGGCTGGTCTGAGTGCCGGAGGATGAACTCTGATCGTCTTACCCAGTCATGGGCATCTGACTCCCCTGGGCCCTGGTTGGTCCAGGTGTGCTCATGTGACCCAATTCTGGCTAATGGGATGTAAGAGGAAGTCTGCGGGGTATGCAGACAGTGTGACAATGGGGGCTATCCACCAGTAAAAAGACCGAGACCTCCAGGGAGACAGCCCTTCCCTCGTCTCCCTTCTGCTTTGAGAGCAGATGTGGTACGTGAAGGGCCCACGGTCGTCTTGCACTACCGGGCAATAATGACGGCGAGCCCAGGAAGAGCCGAAACGCCAGAGCTGACTTCGTCAAGCCAACTGTTGCCAACTCCCAGCTTTTCATCGTGGAAAGAACAAACCCTTGTTTTTCTCCCCTTAAGCCGATGCAAGATGGACTTTCTTTTCTTTTACTTGCTACTGAATGCATTCCTCTAGAACACACTGTCGTGTAGTCCAACGAAGGTCAGCTTTTACTCAACCTCATTTTTTGCCATCTTCGGGCGAGATGTTCAAATCTCTGAGCCTCCCTCCGTCTATAAAACGGAGGTAGAGACACCGTCTCCCCCAGACTGTCCTGAGGATTAGATGAGTCACAGGCTGTGAAATTACTCCATGGACCATGAAGGCTTCTGCAGAGAAAGGGATTGCTGTAGGCCTCTCTCCTGGAGGCCAGGGCTCCCCGGGTGAGGAACAAGTTAACTGTAGCAAGACAGAAGAAAGCGAGAAAGCACGCCTTAGAGCCGAGTGCTGGCCACGGAGAGGGTGCCTCACTGCCCCACCTGTTTCTGGGGAAGATTTCATTTGAGGGACAGCAGGCTGATCTGGCCAAGTGCTCAAGCTAGGGAGACCAGAGGTCTCTGCTCTTCCTTAAGCATGTTATAGTCTCTGTACCCTGGTTCCCTCCTTCAAAAAATGGGGCAAGTGATAACAGTGAATGAAACGGGAAGATGCATGCAAGGGCTCTGCAGATGCAAGTTGTCTCAGTCAGCATCACCACGCTAGCCCTGCGTAACAAAGCACCTCCGAACTCGACAGCATCGACCAGTGAGTGTGCATTTCTCCCGTACAGTCGGAGGGCTGACTGGACTTGGTCCAAGGTGTGAGCTGCATCCAGTTTTGCTGTACGTGCCTCTCGTCCTCTCTGGACCTATCTGATGTCCTCCTGATAGGCAAGAGCACACAAGGGCACCTGCCAAACATATTTCAGATTTCCGCTCATGTCTGGCCTGCTGCCACCTCACTGGACAGTGCAAGCCCATGACCAGGCACACGGTCCAGGCACCACCTGGGTCTGACTTCAGGGCAGTAAGAACTGAGGCCAGCACTGCAGTCGGGCATGGTCCCCGTGTTGTTCCAAGCACGAAAATTAGTGAACACTGGAATTTAGCAATGAGCTTCTGGTTACAACGAAGGCACCGCAGGGGATATGAAGTGAAGACACTGTCACCCTGCCCGCTTCTGAGATGTTAAGTTAACCCCACCATGTGCTGGGCCCTGGCTAGCTCCAGCTGGTAGTGGAGATACCCAGGCTGACACAATGGGATCCCTGCTCCCAAGAGGCCCACAGGCCACTGGCAGGTAAACCATCTCCAGACGGGGTGACAGGGCTGCCATGGTAGGAGACGGGGTTGTAGGCTCACTGGGGAGGTGGTCTCTCACCTTGTCGGAGGAGGAGGGGCAGGAGGAACGGGGAGAGAAGAGGTACCTGGACCTGGACTCTGGAGGATGAGGTGTGCTCAGCAAGCAGACAGGGAGCGAGGTGGAACGGCATGCACAAAGGCACTGAGACGCGGAGTTCTGCGTGGCTGCAGGGCAGATGTGGGCACAGGCCTGTGAAGAACAGGTGGGAGGCGGCCATGACACCGGTGACGTGTGCTGCCAGGCAGGAGCCCAGGGGACAGTCCACGGGCAGAACCATCTCTACCGGGCGTCTCCTCCTTGACGCCCCCTTGTCCCCTGTGTGTCCCTGTCATGACACTCATCCCCTCCCTGTGCGCTCATGGTCTGTTTGCCCCCGGGCTCCCTGAGACAGAGACTGGCTAGGGCCTGTGCACTGGTAGCACAAGGGAGCTTGACCTTGAGGCTGGCCAGCCCGCAGCAGGTGGACCCGGCCTGCCGGGGAAGGGAGTCTGCCGGGGTAGGAGGCAGCACCGGAGAGTTCTGGAAGGATAGTGAAGATACCTCTGCTCGCTGCAGGACTGGCTGAGTCTGGTTTGAGGGATGAGAGTAGATGGGGTTCAATCATTCACTCGTTTCCTGAGCTCCTACTATGTGTCAAGCCCTGTGCTGGGTCCTGGGGACAAAGACCTTGTGCAGAAGAACCCTAATCTAGCAGAGCAGATGCCAGAGGTTAGCGGGGCAGAGAGACTTACACCAGGCCAGGGGGTCGAAGCTACAAGTGTCAGGGGGCTCTCACATGGGCCTGGCTGCCAGACTCCTCCGGAGGGCTGGGATGGCTGACATCGCCCCCAGCTGGCATGGGGACACTGTGTGCATGTGCGCCCCTCCTCTGGTGAGAGTGTGTGTGCGTGTGTACCTGAGTCCGTGTGTGCACAGCTGTCGGTGGGTGTGGCCGGGAGCCTTTGCACCTGTGAGTGTATCTGTGTTTCGCTGTGCGTGTGTGTGTGTGTGTGTGTGTGTGTGTGTGTGTGTGTGGGGGGGGGGCGCGCGCGAGAGAGGTGTGATGTCTCTGTCTCTCTGGTTTGCACACATATCATCGAAAATTTTTTCAATAAC